CCCCTTCCACTGCCCCCAGTTCTGAGCGCTCTCCTCCAATATACCTGGTAGGTGACGCGGTGAGGCACGGCACCACTTCCCTTGTGTATCTGGGGAAAAAAAATGTAGCCCCTCTCTGTGGAAGGGCTAAGGAAGGGAGTCGGGAAGTGATCTGACAAATGTCATTACTGGTGACGTTTCTACCCTGAGCAATCGTCTCTGTGCATGTTCACATGGTGGGTAGCTGTCAAATTATTACTGGTGGAGCGTCACCGTGTGTGGGAGGTGGTCCTGAACCCTCCATTAAAAATAATTACTAGACAGTTGCTTCACTAAGTGCCTACCAGCACTGATTGCTTGTGCAATGAGAGGAAATTCAGTGAGGGCCGCGTATGGGGCTGTAGGTAACCAAGCAGGCTGGAGACAGCTCTTGGCAAGGGAGCAATGGAGCTGAACCTTCAACCTGAACCCATTTTTTCTGAATGTAGACTATAATGAAGGTGGAGAGTAGAGGAGACAGAGGTTATGGCTTCATGAGGTGCCTTCACGTTAGGTCTTTCATGCAAATAACAGCTACCAGACCAGCTCCCTTCTGATAAAGCTCAGGAACCACCCAGGGGGTTTGCCTGGGTCTCTTAGGAGGTAACAGCCCACTCCACCCTGGTGCTGAGGTAGGTGCTGAGCTGCTGGACCCTTAAGCCTTACGGCTTTGCAGAACTCCTGCAAGCGAGCTGTGGAACCCCGACCCCAGGAGCAGCTGCCGCTAAAACAGGCGGTGGCCTTTGATCCAAGAGCCGCCTGGTTACCTAGGGCCCACAGCACAATGTAGGCTTCGGCGCTGGCTGGGGTATTTCTGCTGCTTTTGTCACCGGTCCTGAACCTTGCCGCTTCCTTGGCTCCAGTCAGAGTGCTGTTTTAAGTACCTGAGTGAAGCACGGCAGAACATAAGCCCATAGACTCACGCTGTGCTTAAGCCTGACTCCAGCTAAAGGGTGCAGAGGTAGCTATGTCAACCAGCAAGTACTAAGAACCAAAGCCGAAGCTGTTGAGAAGTGCCCCTGAATTAGCTCATCCTTAGGCTGGACTGCGGTAACCGTCTCTAACCTCCCCGCTGCTTGGATTAGGACCAGAATGCTACGTTTCAGCCTGTCCTTTCTCCTTCCCCTCTCTTGTTCTACCCAAGAGCACACCAATGGGAAGAAAGAAGTTGCTTTTCCTAACAGTGTCTTTTAGAGAAAGCCTCGAGCCTTAGCGATGCTTCCTGCAGCACGAGCAGCCACAAGCATGGCCCTGGCAATCCTTCTAGAAAAACCATCAGGGTAAGTGCCTTTCTAAGGGACTTGAGTATGTGCTTAATAGTGATGGCTGAGGCTAAGGAACTCACCCTCCCGCCTCCGTCACGCTCCACAAGTGCCAAGATAGACGCTACCATTAATGCTGGAGTCTCTTAGGACCCTACGTACCTGGCTGAGATCCTCCTGGGGGAAGAAAAAGCATGTGAAGCCTGCAAGGCAATTAGCACAACTCTTTTTCCCCCTTCCTTTCTATTCCCCTGAACTGCCTGTAAGCAGAAAGAAGTGTTTAAGGTACATTCATTCATTCCCTCAGCAGAAAGCACAGCAGAGAAAGGATTTGAAAGACTGCACAGCCAGAACAAGCAGACTTGTCATCATCTCACTTCAGCAGGTAGCCCTTGGCTTAAAAAAAAAAAAAAAGGGGGCGGGGATGGGGACCAAACTGCTTTTGCGCATTTGATTTAGATGAGCAGAAGGCAAAGTTTGAGATCCGAGGCCGCGATGTGCTTGTTGTAATACAGCGTCTTTCAGAAACAGAAATGGTAGAGAAAGTCATGACTAAAACCAGCTGCAAAATCAGTGACAGATGGCTAAAGCAGTCTTACAGTTAATGCCTTGACCCATGTTAGACAAAATTTAAAAATAATTTTTAAAAAAATTGTAATGATAATGTAGGAACTAATTCCAGTACACACATGGTTTTCTGTCCACATCAAGGCATTTTATTGAGGTATAAACTTTGCAGAAGATGAGGTAACAATTTGCATAGGACTTATGCAAAATCACTTCACAATTAAAATTGACTTGGCATTAACTACTGTCTGTGGAGAACGACCGATAATTCCTGCTTGTGAGATTCTCCTCAAGGCACAGTTCTGTTAACGCTAGTGGTAGGACCGCGGAGAAGGTACAGCAGTTGTAGGTAATGAAACCACTCAGACTGAAAATGCTTTCATACAAACGTTACGGCTTCCTTGCAGTGGTTTGCATTAGAGATTACTGAGCGGGACAACGCCTGCCGCAGTTTAAAGTAAGCTTGTCCAGTGCGAGAAAGGGGGTGCCAACATTCCTGTAGCGATGCAGTGGGGTGGGTGGGTGTGGTGTTGGGTTGTGGGTTTGGTGTGGTTTTTTTTAAGAAAGCTCTTCAAGTTATTGGAATAAAAAGCCCCTGGTTGTCAAAGTTAAAGTACTTTGAATTTGGCACTTGAGTTTGAAGTTGTCAGACTTGTTAAGGCTAAAAACATGGAAGTCTTGGTAAAGATACATTCCTGTGTTATTAAATGCTCCTCTTACATACTTCTATGAAAATAAATTCATGCTCTCAATTTTTGTATTTTCCTCAATTTCAGATTTTAAGAAATTCTATCAACATATCTTTAGTGTAGCTCCCTTGAAGCTTGCACAATAATTTCACTTTAGTTGTGAAGGACATACAGAAAGTTTCCTACAAAAAGTTCAGTTACTATTTGACATGTAAAACATTCCTTGCTGGTGAATGTTAATATTCTAAGACCTAGTAGCAATTCCTGCGGACAGGAAGAATCATGGTATCATTAGAACTAGACTATAAAATGTACACAAGCATATACAGAAGATTAACCAGAGAAACATCAGTTGCCCATTGAAAGTCATTTTTTCTAAACCAATTCAAGAAGATTATCAAAATACAAAACCAGCTTAAAAAACAGCCTGAGGTAAGAGTTAAATGCAAATAGCAATCTTTTTCTTAAAAAAATAGCTGTATTGAAATTCTAGGTACTCAGAAAGTTACTTACTCACTGTCAATAAAAACTTTTACTAGCAATTGTAAAGAGTACTTTAACTAATACAAAAGGATATAAACATTGTACACAGATTCAAAGTAAAAAAAGTACAATACTGTACTTTCATTTTAAAATATATAGTCCTGACAATCCAAACTTTTACCATACACACAATTAACTGGCTTTGGATTAGCTGTTGTCCATGGAACAGTCGGCTAATTCTGTGTGCTGCTGACTTTCAGCTGTGCTAGGATGTGGTATTTTACCGTGTCCATTTGCCTGAGTAAGTCGTTGGCTGTAAAACAAAATGTAGGCTTGAGCCTTGCATACTTCTTCCATAGTGCACATGTTGAGTTTCGAATCATTGCAGTGTACCCAAAATCCTGCAGTGAAGAAATACACCAGGAAAAAAAAAAATTCATCAGGACACTGTTGTGAAGTAATTGCATGATATTTAATAATTTATTAGTGATCAGTCCCATTTAATGAGTTGTGTAGAAATAGCTGATCTAGTTTCAGTTCATCTAGCATATTTGCCTCTAGAATAGTTGTTTCAGTTGATGTAGTATATTTGCCTCTATGTTCTAAAAGCCCAGCGTAGCTTCCTCAGATTTACAGAGGGGTTTATAGCCAGCAGACGTTTAAGAAGCCAATACAAAAACTGAACTCATCTGGTCTACGGAACTGCAATTCTCATTCCAGGCAGTTCAGCTATGAGCGATTCCCTTTTGCCTTTGAGAAAAGACAGGAAGCTACTCAGTTCAGAATTATGCACACCCCTTTCTCCCACACTCCTCGCTTCACAGCTGGTTCCTACCTCCCTCTGAATTGTAGCAGTAGGCAGTGTAGTGCCCGGAGCCGAAGCCTTTCCCATGGTGCATGACCACGGCAGACAAATCATAGATAAAGCAGTCAGGTAGGAGGGACTTGAGGGATTCTCTGCAGCAATAAGGCTCCATGTTCAGCATTTGATCAAAATTAACATGTACGCCAATCTTCTCACGATGATTGCGTCCTGACCACCTGGGGCAAGGGAAGTCAAATGAAAAGTTACTTTTTTTTTTTTCCAAAGAAAGAACACAGCATTCAGAATTATGTTTTAACATAACAAGTATTATCTTCACTATTGTCTTTGTGCACAAAACGCTAATTTGCATTCTTCTTTTTCTCCCAGGCTTCCTCTTTCACTTCTCCTTTATCTCAAAGCCTCTTAATAGGTACCACAGTGACATCCTATCTTCTGAAATATCCATCTTAAGACCAGTGTAATGGTGAGTGGGAAGTATTTCCCATGTATTATATCTCATTGGCATTTCTCATTTATTCCATCTCAGTTTCCTTTGTATTTGGGACAGCCTCTGTACTAATGAGTGGACTAAGGGTTCACAAAGACACAATCTCCACTTCCTTCCTCTCAGGCTAACGTGTTAATGTCTTTGGTTATATGAAGGTTACGTGAGACTTCCGCTGAATACAATCTCGGTTTGTGCACTAGTGAACGTGCGCATTTACTCTACAAGGTTAATTTTTACCAACAGAGTTTACAGCGAGGTTAGTAGGTTTTGACTGAAAAGAAGGATGAAATAATTTTGGTATTAAAGCAGCAAGAAGTTGGAATCCAAAAAGTCAATTCTCTACTTATAGCATAGCTTACTGATGTTTAAATTCAACAAGAAACAGAAGTTTCTAATAACTATTTCTCATCATACTAGTGAAGGGAAGTGAAATGGATGCTGAAAAACACTGATCCCAAACCACAGAAGAGCAAGACTGAACTGGTCAGTTTGCAACACTGTTTGTTGTGGTACTACTTACCTAAACCGTTTCAGGTGTAATCGGAGAACCTGAGGTAGTCGACACACCATAAGCTGCTTCTGAGCTTCTGTGAGTATAACTGGTTTAGAAGAAAACTTCCTTCGTTTTGCTGAGGCCAAACACACAGTTACACAATACACATCTCGGTAACAGCCTTGTATTTCAGTCTAAGATTTATCCACCAAATTTGTGTGGACCTCAATAGCTATGGTATACAGCTCCTTAAAAAGGATACGCTGCAAGAGCCATTTTGCAAGGATTATTTTATGGTGCAAGTATAAAATACTTGTGGTCACTTAGGTTAGTCAACCTTAATTTAAAAAGCTGACAGGGTCTTCAGCTGGGAGTATCAGAACCCCCATTAGTGTGTGATCAGACTTTACTAGGAGAAGCATCACACTTTAAAACATGCTTTGAACAATTCCATCTTCTAGATGGTGAGCACGAGCTGTCAAGTGACCACACCAGGACTTTGTTTGCAACATACTTTTTAAGACTTCTGGTATTTTCCTTCCACGCTTTCACAGTCAGTTTACTTTATATTTTACACAGAGAACATATGCATGAGTACATACTGCCTTTACTCACTGTTGCACTGATCACATGCATATATCTTTCCTTCCAAAGCTTCAGTTTCTGTAAACTTGGCCAGCATTTCTGTCAGCAGACACGGATACTGAGACGACATCTCCTTGCCGTTGCAGTGATACCTCTCAGGAAACTCCAAGGACAGGTCCCAGAAAGGTTCTATCGTATTTGATTTATTGTCACAGGCAAGACATGTAACCTGCAAAACATTATTTCACCAGTTGCTTACACTCAAAAACTTAACTTTACTAAAAGTGTGCTGTAACATAGCTCTAAAAAAAGTATTTTTTCCCCTAGAGATAACTGATGCAACCAAAGACAAGACACGGTTGTTTAACAAAAGAAATTATACACCCAATTTCTTTTCTCTGAAGCAACACATCCAATACCGTTATCACAAACAGGTAAGCATTCTTATGTTTTACTGAGAAACAAAAGCGCTGTTGAAATGCTCGGTCTGGGACTGTCCAAGAGAAAGCAGCTGGTGAAGTTTCAGGAGTCTTTTCTCCAAAAAGAAACACTCCAAAAGGAAAACTTACATGAAAGAGAGAAACTATAGTTTTTGTTTGTTTTATTTAACCTACAAAAAAACCTAAAACAAAAACAGCTGGGGATTTTAAAGTCATATCCTTCTTACTTTGTAAGTCTTCCAGGGAAGCCTGGATTAGGAAGCACACTTCTTCAAAGAAAAATTAACAGGTAAAAATAATTTATTTCTTCTTTCAGTAAGTGGATCCATCGTCACACTAGGGAAAGGACAAGCAGTAAGACAACATAAATAAAATGTCAAGAAGTGAAGCCAGTCAACCTGGAAAATGCAGATAATACAGCAGGGGACAATTAAGTTATGGTAACATTCAATATTTAGGAAAGTAAGTTAAAAGCAGTAGCTCTTCTACGCTGGAATGGCAACACATGAGGTGGTGTTGATGTGCAAGGCAGTCTTCTAAAAGCCAGCTCAGGCTGTTTGTAGAAGAGTGTCGCATCATTTGAGTCTCCCTCCAAAGGACCTCCACCCTTCCACGATCTATGTGGGTGAGTAACTTCTGTTAGAAGCTCAACTCCATTTAGACTCTAACAAGCATAGTTCATAAAGGCTATAAAGAAATACCTGTAAATATCAGGGGTGTGTGTGAGACTAAAGATTAAGTTCACCTTGGTATGTCCAATGCAACAAGGTACAATACAATCCTGAAGAGTAATTACTGAGTTTTCTACTGTTAATGTATTTGTTGGCTTATAAATCGCAGCTGACCACTAACTCAAGCAGCTCTAACCTCACTGCTCTAGAAAAGACACATTCTAAAATAAGTTGCATTTTAGTTGGGCTCAGATAGATAGCTTTGGCAGAACTTCCACAGCATCCAACAAGTTCCCACCCCCTTCCCCAACAATTAAACTTTCCCACCAAAAAGATTAAAGGAACTCAGAACTTTCACATAGGACCGACTGTGAAGATACTGTTCTTTACCAGCTCAGAGTAACAGCAAGGTGCGATGATACACCACCATTCATGTTTTACAGTACAGGGAATATCAAATATCTCCTTAAGTTTGCACCACAAGGGTAAGTAATTGCTAAATTAAATGTCTATAAGCATGCTTCCTATTCAGGAAAATACCACAAGTCATTTGGAACAACTAATACAAAGACGTAGTAAAAAAGGAATGAAAATCCATGAGGGATCCAAATATTGTTATTTGACAGGCACGCCTCTGTGTTGCTGTTCTACGTAAATTCAGTGTTGTTCCCTTCAGTTAGGTTTGTAAGCCTACACAAGTGTGAAAATACACTCAGCTTTGTTCAAGAGCTCCTTTTATTTTCCTCTGAAGGAAAATATGATATGTAATTACTCACCCTGCTTTGTCTGTTATGTCATGAACCTTTATATAAGGACAGCTCTGTCATCTTATAGTACCTTCCTCCTAAGTGTTCTTGTGAGTAATTATTTAATGCGTTCATTAGCTACAACAGCTTGTACACGATCTATGCATTGGCTACCTAATGCACATGGGTGTTTGTGTACAAGCATACACGTTTAGCAGTGGAGTTAGGAAAGCTGTTGGCTGCTTTAAGTTCTAAGAAGAAGAAAATGCCACTGCCTTGTTCTTAGAAAACAAAAATTTGAACTTACGGGGCAGAAAAGAGGAGGATCTTCTGTTTTAATTTACACTGACAGGAGCTTCTTTTGTAAGTGTTAACATCTGGCAAGGTTTCAAAGCCACAAACTCTTAGTAATTCAGAGCTGGAATCTAGACTTGGAGACAAAATGATATGTTTGGCCACAGTTCAAGCTAACTCTAGCATAAACACAGAATGACTAATAGATTTCTGCTGTACAAATGGGTGATTTTGCTGGGCCAAAAGTTTATTTAATTGACGAGTTACTTCAGAATTTGTTGCACATGAATGCACACTGAAGATTAATGGGCTCAGGATGAAGTATGTAGATAATTTTAACAAGTTCTGAGGTTTTAAATATAATGTTAATAATCTAGGTTAAGATCCTCTTTCCCAACTAGTTAATAAGTACTATCCCAAAGAAAGAAATAATCGAGCCAGCTTCCAATTTTTGCCTCTCAAGAAACCAAAAAAGATAAGCTGATGCAATAGTGCTCCTCCTCATCTCGTCATGCAACTGTGAGCAAAGCTGATCTGTGTTGATGCAATCCTGTACTGATACAGAGCTGCACTTACTTCCTCAAATCCAAGACAGTAGTCCTCCTCACCATGAGGCTGCAGCAGAGTTAGAACTCCTTAAGAGTTACCTGGGATTTGCGTACTCGCCAACAGCCAAGTAACCTGACGTATTCGGGTAAGCATACGCCCAACCGTATCAGTCGCTGTGCGCTTACTGCTCCTGTACATGCTCTCACTCGATGGTAAATGAGAGGTAAATCAGGGCTGGAACAAAGGTTGGAAATATTTTTCAGAGCTTACAAATTAGATTACTCAACAAGTAGGAGGATCCCTACCCTTCCGTGGAATCCATCTGCATTGGCCTGTCCGTCAGCACGGGCTTTACAACACTCCCATCGCTTCTCTTTCTGTCCTAAATGGGACTCCTTTATCTCACACGCCGCTACCGTTCCCACAGCGCAACCTAGATTTTCTTTTTTCATGAAAAGCACTGAAATTCTATAAACTGCTCAAAAGTTGAACAAGATGTGAGGTTTTTATAAAAAACAAACAAAAAAACCCAAACATGAACTCAAAGGGCTGACAAAAATTTTATGCATCTGTCCAACGTAACTTTTTCTGGTATGAATATGCACGACAGTAATAGGGAAGTGAGTCTGCTCTAGCAATCTGGTTAGTCACATGTACCTTTTTATGACTATATTTACAAATTCAGTTTAATTTCACCTCCCTGTTATAGTCCACAGTTGCTATTTTAGGAAGTCTTAATGCTGTCATTTATAATAAAGCTACATGAGAAGTTTACATTAGAACAAAGAAAGTAAATAACTGGTTTTAGCTGGTCTACGTTCTGCCCTGACCACCCTCTCCTGCCTTGGAACACGGGTACTATATACAATTGTTTGGTTAAAGCTCAGTATTCAATCGTGGGCCAAAGGCCAGACTGAAAAGAGCTGGATCAAACTGCTTGATTCAAGCTTAGCATGGAGGCCACTCAGACAAGCAGCATTGTGCCCACAATAATTTGATGGACAGCCGCTGCCCTGGATGGCATTCAGCCTAAATGCAGCCAAAGAAAACAGTTAACATATTGCTGCAGAAAAAGCCAACTCCATCGTCAACTCTTGTGCCTACGTTCCCTGCACTTGCACGGAAGACAGATAACTGTTACCATCTCTGCTCTAATTCTTTTTCGGTTTTTAAGAACAGTGAGATGGCCAGTCCCATTTTTGTGCTTTCACTACTCCTTAAGTTTTCACTATATGAGATATCTATACAAAGAGTAGTAATTGAATTTTTACACGGCAAAGTCACCAAAGCAGAAGGGGATTTCTAGGTTACTTCCATAATATGCAATTCCACATGACAGTCCGTACTCTATTTCTTGACTTATAAAAAACCCTAAACTTTGTAGTGATGAGCATACAGCATCATCAAGATGATCTGTATCTATTTACACAAATAACATAAGCATAATGACAGCGAACCGTGGTCTGAGATTCAACGGCCTTCTATAGTTTAACTTAAAATGTCACCTTCATCTAGTTGGAAAGCAACTTGACAACCATTTTGTGATTCAGGCTATGCATAAAAGCACAGAGATTAATAGTGGCATATAGAAATCAGTATACAAGTCATGGATCAGTTTAAGTGCAAATCCTTCTATTACCTCCCTGAAGTTCTCATAGTTTTTAATAGTCTGTTCAAGTGGGAGACTTAATACTCAGCACTGCACGAGTCACCCTCAGCATTCTCGCCCAAATTTTAACTCAGATCATACTACCCAAAACTGAAGGGCTTCAAACAACCCAAAGATTGCACACTTCCCCTTCTCTCACCCAATCTGTCCCGAAATACACCGGTTGAGCAAGTAAATGGAGCAAGACTTGCAAGGAGAGGCACTGCCTTTCAAAACTTTAAATACAGTTTACAGGCCACATATTGGTTAGAACTGACTTCACTCTCTGGGTCTTGGCATATTCATTTCCCCGAGCGCAACACACTTACTCTGCCGTGCTGACAGGGGCTGCGGGCGGGGGGGAGGGAAGCATTTTGCTCAGATTCCATCTTAAACACGATCAGGAAGTAATCAAACCAACTGGATTTTTTTTAAGTATGCCTAGAGATATCAAAGGTAGTTCTTGCTAGGCATTGGTGTAATAAATGGTGAATTATTGGGAAAAAAACCCTCACAGCCCAAGATAGGTTTGTCTTAAGAAGCAATGGTAACTAATCACAACTTTGCTGTAGAGGAAAGCCGTTACTAAAGGAGCATAGCCACTGCTCTGTTTGGTGTTGCCTAGATTTCTGTTACAGCAGAGAGCTTTACCTAAGGCACCAGATTCAAAACCAGTGGAATCCTGACAAGAGACTTTAAAAAAACCTCCCCAAATAGTTTCTAAAGGGTTCCGTACCACTCCAAAATGATGTTAAAATGACATTGGCTAGGTATTTCTTCGATCACTCACATTAAATTTGAATTTACTCAACAGCACTCTATAAAGAAATCATCAACA